CCTTCCCCCCTTCCACGGTTCCCCTCTCTTTCCACCATTGTTGGCTTCACTGCCCTGATGGAGCAGAGCCTTTCTGTGCGTGTGGAGACAGGCGTGAGCAACGCGCGAGCCCAGCCCTCAGAGCGAAGACATCGTGCTCAGTGGGTGTGGGGAAGCCCGGAGCACCGTGGAGACACATCTTCCTGGAAGTTAGAGGTGGAAATCACCTCAAGGGGCAGTGGTAATTTGTGAGGACCTGGAGCTGAGAGAATGCGGCACCCTCAGGAACTCTTGGAGCAGAATGGTTCTGTCAGGCTGCAGTGGGGAAAGACGACCTGAGAGGATCTGTGGAGGCCACATCCGGAAAGACTGATGTCCCGGGGGCTCTCCACTCCTTGGGACGCTGGGACGTTTTTGGCTACTAATTGGTACTAAAGTCTTTCATCCACTTACCTTTAAGGCTTCCAAGCTTGTCTTTCTTTATAGCTGAGTAGTACTCCATTATATAAAAATATCACATCTCTTTTATCCATTCCTCAAGCGATGTGCATTTGTGTTGTTTCTGAAATTTGACTGTGACAATTGTGCTGCCAAACATAGGTGCACATATATCACTGTGATATGGTGTTTTCAGTTTTTCTGGAAAAATACCCAGAAGGGGAATAGCTGAGTTGAATGAGATTTCCAATCCTAGTTTTTTAATCATAAGTGAAATAAATCAGAACCGCACATGTAAATATCATATTGTCTCCCTAGTGTAAGAACATGAAGAAGAAATAAAATCTAAAAGGTACGATGGATCTAGTAAAATGGAAAGAAGCTGAATTTAAGGATTAAACAAGGAAGATAGAATGAGAAAAGACAGAAAAAAGGAAGGGGGTAAAACATGCAAGTATATATACAGGATGGCTGAGATGATTGTACTACTAAATTCCATCAGCTTTTTGAAAATAGTTAATATGTAGAATTTTCATCTTGACTAACTGTATGCTGATGTCTGCAATCCAGGCAACTACATTGAGGACAGCAATGTGTAATATAAAAACTGTGTTTGAATACCTGTCATCTTGGTCTTCTGAATGTGTACCATTTCTGATGTCTAATCAATTATTATTATACTCTCTTTAAAATAATTTTTTAAAAAAGACATGAAGAAAATTAAGGTTTCTTGAAAGCAAATGGTAATACTCAATTATTTGTCCAATTTTGCATAACAATATCTGTTAATATGAGCAATGGATTTGACAGAAAAAATAAATAATATATCAATCATTGTTAATCAGCTACTGTTTTTTTGAAAATCTGTAACATATGTATTGTTGTATGTTACCCAGAGTTCAGTCCTGGCATGCCATACCAGACCCACCCCCAGGGGCATGCTGAGACGGCGATTGGGACTGAGCATGGTGGTGTGCACCAGTAATCCCAGCTCTTGGGAGGCTATAAACAAGTGGATCACTACAAGTCTGATCTAGTAGTGAGACCCTGAACACCCTGTG